ACCCCCTACCCCTTTCTGTAAATTGTTTGTGTATAAATTTGGACCATGCAAAATATAATTCTAACTCCAACAGTGACTTGTCCACTACGTGGGTGATTATATAGAGACTTCGGTTTTTAATCATTTTAAGTTATTGAGTTCGAAATTTAGAGAGAATAGTCAGGCAGGAATAGGGGCGGAGGCACAAGTGGACTTATGAATTTGGCCGAACCCAATAATTTTTCTCAAACAATATATTTGATGATTTGAATATATAAAATATATATAAATATTAAATCTAAAACCGAGTAATTAATACTTAAAAGTTGTGGTACCAAAATCTAGAACCATAAGGTTAAAATACGTATTCAATGTAGAGATTATGGGTTTATCGTCCATACCTTTCGCTCATAATTTATATTTTTGTCTAAAAAATTATTAAATATGTATAAATAATAAATTTTAAACCCATTAAATTAAATGAGATGGGGTAAAATTGCGGAACCCACAAAGTTTAGATTTTTGATCCGCTTTTGTAGTCAGGTGTATAAAGTATCTCATATTTATGCAAATTTGGGAAGGGCTACGTCCCAAAGAGTGATATAGATAATCTAACCTAAGGGTGCACAAGTTTTTAAATTAATAATTTGTATATATTTAATGAATTTCTTTGAACATATATAAAAATTGGACCAAATTTAGTGGGTTCGACTTAACCCGCAAAATTTATTTCTATTCTATAAAATATAATTTTTTATGCTATCTGTATATTTGAATATGATATATTACAAATAATTTACCTTTTATTTTAAATTATTCCACTTATTATGAACGATGATTGATAGTTAATTTTAAATGATCTTATAGCATATTTACAATGTCATTATAGAAGCTATTTAAGCTCTTTGTATTTTACCAAATTGTCTCTTGTGTGAACACAGTTGCTTTCTCGAAGATTCTTCTCATTGTCACAATGATCATTACATATTTTTTTTTTCTTTTTTCTTTTTATGAGAATATCAAATTTAATTTCGGAAATATTAGGATTTTTTTATAGTCATCTCATATTTAATACTCACTAGCTAAAAGTTTCTTCATTAATATGTGTTTACACAAAATTTGTTAACAAACAATATTCATCCCTTGTTCTTTGGTACTTACGTATGAATCATTTTATTTTTCTTTAATTTTCAATTTTTTCTATAAATAGAAATTTTAATTACAAAATAAAAATCAGGAAATTGCCTTTTGCGCCATTCGAAATGGTATTCTATTGATACCAGTTGTCCCTTTGGATATAACAATAGCAAGCTTTGACAATATGAGGCAAAATTAAAAAAGAAAAAAGAAAAAATAGATTGTTGTTATAAAATAAAGACTATAAAGTAAAGATAAGTATAGAGAGAAACTAATATATTATTCGAATTCAAACTGATGTACATAATGAGCTGAAATCTCTTCTATTTATAGAAGAAAAGAAGCTGTTGTGTAAGCTGCTACGCAAGCTGCTACTACAAGCTGCTGTGTAAGCTGCTATTACAAGCTGCTGTGTAAGCTGCTACTGC